TGAGGTACCGCGGAGGCGGGGATCGCTCAGGTTCAGACAAGGGAAAAAGGGGGGGGGGGGGGGGGGGGGGTTCTAGCAGGATCTGTGCCTGGGAGCCTCTACTTGGCCATGGCGTGCGTGCGCAACCCCGAGCTAATTTATCGATTTCAGGGTCGAGCAGCAGCCAGCATCGTCCTTCGAGAAACGCGGGGCCGGCTCCCCCTTTCCGTCCGTCCGTCCCTCCCTCTCTCTCTCTCTTCCCCAGGCCTTTATCACTAGCAGCAGCGCGCAAGGAGCAGGTCACTCAAAGCTTACACGTCAGCTTTTGATCGGCGCACCTTATCGCTCATGACAGGTCGCAAGACCAGGGGGCGGGGCATTGGAATGAGCGGGAGCTAAGGGCGGAAGCTAGGCTGACCAGTTGCGAGCAAGCTTCGCTAGACACGACAGTTGAGGCCGGCCGATGTTACCTTGCGTCGTCCAAGCGAAGGGTGCACTAGCCACTGGGCAGGTAGCTACTTGCTGTCGCCGGCCGATGACACCGAAACTCTGGCAACGAGGATCCCGCTTTGGGGGCCAGCCTGATGTTCTGCCTGCCTTGGGTCTGGGTAGGTTGGCCAGGACAGGGCAGACAGGAGGTTTCCGAAGAACGAGAGACGACTTACGACTTGCGTCTCGCATGCCTCATTACGTCACTTGCACCAGGACTGCCATGCAGCGCGCTGTGAGAAAACACACCCTAGGGCGGCCGGGGGAAATGCAACAAGGGAAAAGGGAGGCAAATGAAGGGAATAGAGAGAGAGAGAGACAAGACAGCCAGAGACAGAGTGTCACAACAGGACCTGTCATGGGTGAAGACCCCTCCGCTGCCGTGACAGGTTTCCTCTTCCCCCCTCGCCTCACACCTTATTTCAGGCCACACGATGACAACTTTGTGTGCCGATGCTCGTGTCTGTCTGTCTCTCTCTCTCTCTCTCTCTCTCTCTCGTCCTCACCTCACCAACCCACACAGCTTGAGCCACCAAGCTTTGACTGGCCAGCCGGCCGTGTAGTTGACGCATTGAATGCCCGTTGCCAAGCCTGGCGGGTGAGCGCATGTCCCGCTTTCCCTCCATGAACCTGCAGACTCCCATTACCAGTCGTGTGCGTGTGTGCGTCCTTCGGTCCCGTCCATCTGCGCTTCGACGTTGCGGGTACTGCGGATGTGATGAATGGGGATTAACAGGGGAGGGGTCAAGGGGCGCAAGGTGCGGGCAGCAGAAGCGCCGACATGCAGGTTGGTGCGCGGGTGACGGGCCCGGTGTCGCCTGTTGGACGGCAACGAGCGAGGCCACTGAGCGACATGGGCCAGTGTCTGTGTCTGTCTGTGTCTGTCTGTGCCTGTCTCTTTAGAAGGCATCACGACGCTGATCGGGCGATTGCTTGGCAGGGCAGCAGTATTGGCTTAGAAACCGGGGGGGGGGGTAGGCCAATTTAGGTACCTAAGGTAAGGTACCTACCTCATGGAGGGCGGCTAGGGCAGGGCAGATGTTCTACTACCTCTGACTGACGCCTAAAGGTGATAGGCTGGCAAGGCAGGCAAGGCAAAGCAGGCAGGGAAGGCAGCCCAGGTACCGATCCCCCCCCCCGGCAGATCAGATCATTCATTTTGGGGGGAAGGGGCTAGGCAGGGGAAGTGGGGGGGGAGGGGAGGGGGCTCTCAGTCGCGTCTGTCCACATTCAATATTCGCTGCCTCGTACAGTCCAACAACTTGCCAGGCGAAGAGGGAGACAGAAGAACAAGAAGAAAGCCTGATCAGCCGACTTGATGACCTCTTCGTTCCTTGGCAGTCTTGTCTTTTCTGATCCACCTACTTGACATGGGGATACCGATGCCCTCATGCGCATGCGAGGTAGTTGGCTTCGGCTGCGGCAGCGGCGGTACCCTACCCAGGCCTCCAGACCACCAGCCGTTACAAGCGTCTGTCTGGCCGTTAGAGCCATCGACCACACCACCACGATCCGCTGCATATGCAGGGCACTGCACATCGACTTCACCACCGTCACGTCCTCGCCAGCTCCTCTCCTGACGCTCGGCGGCTAACACCACCAGCTCGTGCCAATCACCCACCCCAGTCGCCCTCTCTGGTGCCCTCCTCTACCACCCCTGGAGCTGCGCCTGGAGGAGGCGAGGAGGCCACCCACCACCCCCGAAGGACCCGCGATGCCGCGGCACCCACTCCGACCTGCATGCTCGATTCTTCAAGCAGAGCTCAACGCCGCGGGCAGGGGGGGGGGGGCTGAGCTGAGCTCGGCTGGAGACCTCTTCGCTTGGTGCTGCCTGCGCTGTTGGGCCATCCAACTTTGCTAGGCACATCGAGGTGACCAAGCCAACGAGGGCGGCAAGCACGCGGTGCATATGTGATGAAGGGCCGCGCTTGAGAGTCCCAACGTCCTGTTCCAGCGGGGTTTTGGCCCGAATCAGGACATGAACTTGACGAACCTACGATCATCGTGACCTTCCAAGGTCGGAGAGACCGAACACCCATCGTCATACAAACGTGCCGATGTCTGGTCAACCACCCCCCTTCCCCACCCTTGACGAGCGACTCGACAGGCGACCTTTGATATCGCTAGACGCACCCTGCGTTGGCGCGACTCGCAAGCCAGCAGAACGCAAGGCACATACCAAATCTTGGCGATAAACGGCAACCCATCCATCATCCACATCCCATCAGCAGTGGTGGGGGCTAGTCAAGGTGATGTCTCGTTTGGGGGCCAAATCATCAATCCATCTTTCCTCCAATGCATGCTCGTGCTGGCCATAGTTCGTTCTTCTTAGCGAGGTTACCTTGAGAACCAACAGTGCGTCGCGAAGCAATCGACATTGGTCGCCCCCTCGCTTGTTGCTCTCATCGGAAGAGCCCGCTCGCCAACTCAGGCAGCCGCCAGCCGCCAGCCGCAGCCTTTCTCCGCTTCCCTCTTCGCGCCGCTCATGCTTTCCTGCGCCGACGTCACGCCTCGTGCGTAGCCTGCGGGGTGGATCCTTCGAGGCCTTCTTTCGGGACCTCAACTTCAAGAACGCCATCCACGGGCCACTCCTCAGGCCGACGGCTATTGTGGGCCGCACCATCTGGTCTGCCGCGCCACGATAACCGCTTGCGCCTTTGCTGTCCCCTCCTCCCTCCCTTCCCATCTTGCCCTGTGATAGCCGGGGTCATTGTGACCGATCTCTGCTTTCACGCCCTCAGCTTCTTCTACCCTTTTTGCCAATTGCCTGATGTACAAGGGGGGGTGGGTGAAAGGGGGAGGGGGGGCACGACAGTCCGTCCCGTCATGCGGGTGAGGGCCCCTCCCTCACCGCATGACGGGCCGCGATTGCAGACCAGGCAAGGCAGAGACGCAACTCGAGGCCCGAATCCAAGGCCGGAAGGCTCGTTCGGCATCAAGATTTCGCTCGGCATCTCTCGCTCAGAAGCGAACCAACTGCACCAACGGCGTATACGCGGCTGTTCAAGAAGGAAGAAAGTGGGCGACGGGGGGCATATGACGAGAAGGGGACATCGTGACTCTTTGGCCCTACCCCTGCTCCTGGTCTCCGGTCCTGCCTTGCGAGTCCCCTGGTGAGGGGGCCAGGTCTAGGCAGACGACGGGAAGAGTCCTACGTAAGGCTGGTTTTACGATGAAGAGCGGGGAATTAGTTGCCTTTGCATCGCCAGACTTGGCGATCGGGTAGGAAAAGGGGGAGGAAGGGAAGGCCCCGGAACGGTTTCGTACGTTGGCGTTGGCTGTGCCTCTTTCTTTTCTGTCCTACGAAAAGCATGAGAGCCGGGTGTGACGATCTTTGACAGAACAAGGGGGGTCAAGTACCTTTTTCTCGAGGGTACTTGTCTCTCGTGACCGAGGACGAGTCGCTCTAAAGCGGTGGTGGTGGTGAGGGCGCAGGGGGGGAGATTTGCTTCTCCGAGCCAACAACATCACATCACGCCAGTTGACTTTGCCCCGTCAGGACCGTGGCCATGACGTCGGAAGAGGGGGGATGCCTTTGAAGAAGAGGATAGGGGCGAGAGAGATGGGGTCAAACGGCCTTCCCTCCTCGCTCTTCAGGCATTTAGGATGGGTCACTTCACTCGGCACATCATGACAGTGACACAACGCAACGAAGAGCCAATCTCATTTCGCCCCTTTCTTGTCGGGTGCGTTTTGCTAATGCTAAAACCATGCTACACACCATTGCCTGCCTGCCTGAAACTTCACTCTCATCCGTCCGTCGTTCAACCCTCCCCCGTGTTCGCATCTGGGCCAATCTCAGATATCATTCCAATCCATAGGAAAAGAGAAAGCAAGAACAGGAAGAGAGAGAGGAAAACGCAAGGGAAAGACCAAAAAAAGGATGTATTGCAGAAAGCCGAACCTCCCCTTTCCACATGTTGATTCGCTATCCCCTAATCTGCATTGCTTTGTCTCTCTCTCACTCTCTCTTTGCTTGTCCTGTCGATCAACCCCTCTTCCTCGCGCGCGTAGTGTACAAGTTCAGCTTTATACAGAAAGTTTTTGGTTTTGCGGCATGGCGGCCTGGATTTGTTTTTTTTGTGTGATTTTCCCCTTTGTCGAATTCAAATCACCTTCTTGCTTGGGGTTGTCTTGGGCCTTCGATCATCCATCCATTCGCCCACCCCCCACCCCCTTTTCAGGAATCTGTTGCGTCAGGGGAAGAGAGACCTCTTCGACATGCCCCAGCTCTAGCCTTTCGCGTTTTCTTTTTTGGTGCGTGCTCGGGTGCTGCTGCGGCGGCTCTATAATGCAAAAGCGGAACTTCCCCTTACCCATCCCTCTCCCAGCGAGCGTGGTGGTGTAGAGAGGACGAGGGAAAAAGGGAAAAAAAAATCAAGTGGTTGACAGCCTGTGTCTTTGTATCGAGTCATCGCAGTCCATGCGACCCAGTGCCATTTCAGTCGTTGGTGGGGGAATTAGGAGAGCTGAAGAACGGTCAGCGCCTTCCTGTGTGACCAAGGATGGAATGTAACTCACTATTGGTTGCCGGAGCCCGAGGGACCAGGGGTTCTAGGGGAGAAAGAAGGAGACTGCGGAACGGGTTAGCTTAGCTGCCATAACTTACAGCGCGATGTGGAGGACTCACAGTTGGGGAGTAGTTGGGGCTCGTCGGTGACTGCTGCATCGCCGGCCGTTGGAAGCTCGGGCTCGTGGGTGAGTACGAGTGTTCCGGCGACGTGGGGGACCACGACGGCGATGCGGGCGAGTACGACGGCGAGGTAGGTCCCGCGCCGTGAAGGTTGGGCGACGTCGGGCTGTAGCTGGGACTAGCAGGCGAGTAGCTGGGCGATGTCGGTGAGTTGAACTGCGCAGGAGAGGTCGGCGAGTAGTGCCTCGGAGACGTGGGAGACGTCGGTGAGTAGCTCGGTGAGGTCGGGCTGTAGTTGGGACTGGCGGGGCTCGTCGGGCGGTGTACCGGCGACGTAGGAGAGAACGAAGGCGAGGACGGGCTGAACTGTGGCGAGGTCGCGTAGCGAGCACCTCCGTCCATGAGCGGCGACGTGGGCGAGTAACCGCCACCCGGAGAGGTTGGCGAGTAGCCACCTGCACCAGCGAAGCTGCTGAATGGCGAAGTCGGTGACGTGGTGAACGGGCTGGTAGCTCCCGCTCGGCCAGGACTGGCACCACCGAAACCGCCATAGGTTCCGCCGTATTCGGTGCCAAAACCAGTGTTGTCATCCGAGCCAGCACCCACAATGGGAGAGAAGTTGCCCTCGTTGGAGGAGGGCGAGCCCAGAGACAGATAACCAGAGTCCAGAGGCGAACCAGTGTCATAAGGCGTGGCCGCACCTCCCATCTCACCACCCTTGACAGGCATGCCGGGCACGAGACCCATTCTCGAGTTGTCACTGATGACCGTCTCAAGCATCTTGGGATCAAGAAGAACCTCAAAGTGGCCAGTGCCCATGGGGGCCATCTGTCCCAGCATGACGTTCTCAGAAATACCACGGCAGTCGTCAAGTTCGCCGACGGCGGCAGCCTCCAGCAGAATCTCGACAGTCTCCTCGAACGAACAACGCATGAGCGCACCAGTATCGGCACGGTTGATACCGTGGCGGGTGACTGCAGAGATGCCACCACGGTAGGTCATGACATCGACAAGGAGCGCAAGATGGCGATGGTTGACGTAAGAACCGTCGAAAGCGAGCACCTGTGTCAACTCACGAACCAGCGCGCCTCGGGCCGCTTCAATACCAAACACCTCGTTGATCTGCCAAAGGTGGTTGGTGTATGTGCGCGTGGCGTCAACTCCCTCCACCATGAGAACAGAGCTGAGCGAAGTACCAGACGTGTCGAGGTACCATTCCTGGCACCTGTCGTCCGCCTTGGCCGCCAACAGCGCACCATCATCAGTCTCAATGAGCTTGGTCTCCTTGTTCAAGAAGGCTCTCTCAATGCCCAGGACACCACGAAGGGTCAGGGTGTCGAGCAGATGGGTCTCGAATTGCTTCAGCATGACATCGTCCTCCACCTTGCTCTCGTCGTCACCTCCCTTGTCGGGTTTAATGGTACGGATGCGAATAACCTGCTCATCTGCGTTGTTGTCACTGAAAACAAGGTTGCAGTCGTTGGGGTAATCCGCCTTGATGCGCGATGCGACATCCTCGACCGTCAATTCCTTGTCGAGCATCTTCTGGCGATCGAGCGTGATACGTAGCAGCCACCTATTCTGCAGGTTCGCCGATTCGTGAGAGTCATCGGGAATAGCCCAGTAAGATTCCACCATGTCGGTATCAGAGGGAATCACTGTGTTCTCGAGGTCGGGGTCGTAGTAAATTTCAGTCATGGCAGTAACGGAGCGCAAAGTGGTGTGCTCGACAGTGCTGCGGAGAGCCTTGGCAGCCTCCTGGGTGGCGTTGCCCTCGCTCAGGTAGACAACCATGGAAGGTGTCTTGATGTTTTGTGCCAGGTTAAGAATCTCCTTGAGACGAGGCACACCGAGCGTAACGTTCTTGGACGACACACCGGCGAAATGGAAAGTGTTCAGCGTCATCTGCGTCGCGGGCTCACCAATGGACTGGGCTGCCAGGACACCGACCATCTCACCAGGGCTGATAGACGCCTTGGCCCAGCGACCTTCAAGCTCACCGAGAACGTGGTTGAAGGCCAGCTTGTTGAGGCGCTGAAGACAAGCAACGCGCTTGAATGCAAGGCGCGAACGCATATGAGCCTTGAAAAGGATGGTGGCATTGTAGTCAGCCTCCTTAGAGAGACCATCCTGACCACGAACCACAGTCATCCTGTCGAGCATAGACGCGACGGCCGGGATGACGTCCTGCGGCGTCAAGTCACTGCGCTGGAAGTCCTGGACGTTGAAGAGCTTCTTTGCTGTCTCCATGATGCGAACAATGTTGAGCGGCAGCTGCATCGACTCGTCGTCCTTCCTGCGGAAGTTGATCTCTCGAACGACCCTGCGGTCTTCGGCCAAGGCCTCGTATTCTTCGTCTAGAAGCTGCTGAGAGGCGGGGTCACCGGCAATCTCGTTGCCATATTCAAGCCAGTCGAGTTCCTCGGGTTTGTTGGCATCCATGACATCGAGCTTGTAACGGTCGTCGAACTTCTTGTTGGACATGTTGAGGAAGTCCATGCGTTGCTTCTCGATGTAAATGGCGTCGAGACCATCTTCACCGTAAAGGAACTGAATGATATCGCCAAGCGAGTTACGGACCGTGCCATCGTACTTGGCGCTAACGTCCTCAAGCGCCTTCACGAGACGACGCTGGATGTAACCCGTCTCGGCAGTCTTCACAGCAGTATCAATAAGACCCTCACGACCAGCCATGGCGTGGAAGAAGAATTCGCTAGGAGTGAGGCCACGGAGGTACGAGTTCTCAACGAAACCGCGGGCTTCAGGAGAGTAATCATCCTTGGTGAAGTGAGGCAGAGTGCGGTACTTGAAGCCGAAAGGAATACGCTTTCCCTCGACGATTTGCTGACCGACCAGCGCAGTCATCTGCGAAATGTTGATGGACGAACCCTTGGAGCCTGACAGAGCCATAGTGACGGCGTTGTTGAGATCCTTCAGACTCTTCTGCGTTGTGGTACCTGCCTTGTCACGAGCTGTGTTGAGAGCTCGCGAGACCTTGCTCTCAAAGGTCTCTCGAATGTTCATACCGGGAGAAGGCTCGAGCTCGTTGTTTGTGGCCTGCTTGGTGAGGCGGGCGACTTCGTCCTTTTGTTCATCGATGTGGCCCTGGACCTTTTCAATGGTAAGGGTATCAGGAATAGTATCACCGATGCCGATACTGAAACCGTTGTGGAGCAGCCAGTAGTTGACAGTCTGTTGAACGCCGTTAAGGAACTTCATCGCAGCTTCTGGGCCGTGCTCGTTGTAGACAATATGGACGATACCACCACTGGCAGCGCCAATGACCTTCTTGGTGAGGAGACCATACATGAGCTGACCGGACTGAATCAGGAGACCCTCGTCCTTGACAGAGTTGTCCTCCTTTGTGTCGGGTAAGCTGTTGAGACTGACAATCTCAGGAATGGCCATGCTCATAATCTGCTTTCCTGTCCATCGAGGGCTAGGCCTGAGGATAGCTGGAACGGGAATGATACCATCCCAGTTGGGGACCCACAGCATGATGTTCATGACCTCCTCCTTGGTGAGGAAGACGTCACGGCGGCAGAGTTTGTAGGCACCAGCCAGCGTGTCCTGGACAATACCCATGAGGGGACCGTTTCGCTGCGGAGAGACAATGTTGATGGGGACCATGCAAAGCTCTTTGATTTCGGCGCGAGTTTCTTCGCTTTGCGGGACGTGAAGGTTCATCTCGTCACCATCGAAATCAGCGTTGTAAGGCGATGTGACTGACAGGTTCAGTCTGAAGGTCGAGTAGGGCATGACACGAACCCTGTGACCCATCATGGACTCCTTGTGAAGTGACGGCTGACGATTGAAGATGATATAATCACCAGTCATGAGATGACGCTCCACCTTCCAGCCGTACTCGAGCGAGATCTGCCCAGCACGTCGGTGATGCCGCAAGTCAATTCTTGTACCGTCTGTGCGAATGACATACTTTGCGCCGGGGTGCTCGTTTGGCCCGTTCTGCACCAGCTCGTGCAGCTTGCCAATGTTGTAAGGGGTAACGGTCTCCGGGTACGTCAACGTCCTGGCAATACTCCTGGGGACACCAACCTCGTCCAGGGACAGGTTGGCGTCACCAGTGATGACAGTACGAGCTGAGAAGTCGACACGTTTACCCATCAAGTTTCCTCGTAGACGACCTTCCTTGCCCTTGAGACGAGCTCGGATGGCTTTGACAGGACGTCCGCTCTTCTGAAGAGCGCGTGGTTGGCCAGCAATGTCATTGTCCATGTATGTGGCGACGTGGTATTGGAGGAGCTGCTCGAAGTCTCTGGCAATATGAGCGGGCGAAGCTTCTCTGATGGCCTGTCGAACATTGCCGTTGGCACGAATGATATCACCAAGCTTGTAGGTCAAATCATCCTCGTTCCTCATACCCTGGCCTGTACCGTCCATAGAAATACTGGGACGTACAGGAGGAGGGGGGACCGGGAGAACGGTGATAATCATCCACTCAGGGCGAGCGTAGTCGAGGTTAAGACCCATATCCCTCAGGTCGTCGTCGGAGATGCGACGCAGAATACCGTGGGCGCGATCAGCCGTGATTGGGACCTCCTTGACATCTTTGACGCCGTCTTCGGTGGTTGACGTAACCTTCTCGATGAGCTGAAGGGCTTTGGCGCGGATGTCGTGCTTGACGTTGCCACAACCATCATGGGGGACTTGGTTCTGTCTCCTCAGCTCCGGGAAAGAATCGGGGCCATCCTTCTCCTCTTTGAGCTCGTTCTCGCACCGCTTCTTCTTCTTGCAATGAAGCCAGACACGATGAAAGCGCTGCTTGGGGTCTCTCGTGTTCACAGCTTGTTCGAATTCAGGATCATTCTGAGCAGCCAAGTTAGCAAGACAAGAATCAAGGCAGTCGCTTCGCGTCGAAAAGACTGACTCTATCACCCAAGACCTTGTAACACTCGAGGCAGACGATTTCAAGAATCTTCTTGACCTTCTTGATGAAACCCGGGTGGTAGACGCCCTTGGCGAGCTCAATGTGACCAAAATGACCAGGACATTCGCCCATGGCTTGCGTGCACGTCTTGCACTTGAACTGGCGATCGATGGAACCGAGAAGAGGATCGTTGAGACCGCTGTCGCGTGGCTTGGTACGCGTCTCGTCCATCGTCTCAGGGTAGATGACGTGACAGACACTCATCGTCTTGATCTGTTCGGGCGACATGAGGCCAAACTGAATCTCCTCAATCGTCTTGACGGGCGCACTTGAGTGCGTGAAGTAGAGGTTCGCCATGTTGTGTGGTGTTTTTTGTCGAAGCGGCTATCGACAGAGTGTCGGGAAGCGCGCAAGTCGATGATTATTAGGTGGACGGTGGCCGTCGGTGATGGAAAGCGCGTCGAAAGAAAGGATTCGCGCCCGTGGCAATCGATGGAGGCGAGCCCGTCGGTCGCGGTCGTAATCCACACGTCGTGAAGCGAAGGTGAAGAAAAGTCGGACAAAGTCGCAAGAGTCGCAAGAAAACCCGTTCCTCCCCCCGCGGAAACCTGCTCAAATGATGGAAAGAGAGTCTGCGCGAGCCGTTGGGATTGATGGGGATGCGCCTCGTGAAGAAAAATCAAATCCGATCCCTCTGGCCAGCGGCCCAGGAGTAGCCGTTCCTACTCGTTACCCCAATGGCCGCCACCGCTGCGGACTGGTCGAGACGTCAAAAATCGCGTTGCTAAAAGTCGGTGGGCGTGTCGAGATGTCGGCGGCAGTCTCGAAACACTATTTGGGACGCGCGTTGTGATGGCGCCGCGACGTTGATGGCGAGGTGGTTGATGATGAAGGCAGGGTGAGGCGACAGGCAGGAGCCAGCAGACCAGAGAGAAATCTTGCCTCCCAGGCGGCTGCGCACCACGGAGATGGCGCTAATCCAGTTTTGGCCGTTAGGCGTGTGGTGGTGGGTCTGGCTCGTGTTGCCTGAGGTACCGACATCAATTCAACTCAGGACTGGGCAAGCTGGGAAACAACTCCCCTTTGTCAGCCGCGAAACGGTCGCTCTAGTCCACATTCACTGGCTGTCATCCTTTCTTTCTCTATCCCCTGTGCTTCCATGTCCGATCCAGACAAGCACGCGACGTCAAAAGCTCATTGATCCCAGTCAGTCCATTGAGTGCCTATCAGCCTCGATGGGATCGCCTAACGGAATAACTCGATCAAAGACCAAGCAACCATCTGCACCAATGGATCGGCCCGGATCACTCCTATTTTGAGACTGCATCAGACAGCCCCGCATCATGCGTCGGACAAAGGCCTCCTATTATTCATTTCCAAGGTGGTCAGGTCTACGTCTCCTTCGACTGCCTATTTCTTCCGCCCCTTGGCACCCCGTCGTTTTGCCGGCGCTTTCTTGTCCGCCGACATGTCATCGAGTATCTCGCCATCCGCACCGGGGCTTCTCCTACGCATAGTGCCGGTCGAAACGGCCACGAACTCCTCCTCGCTGTCGCTGTCGGCAAGGTCAAATAGGATGGGCATTCGAAATTTGCCCTGGCGCCCTCCTTCGCCTGCGTTTTGCTGCTCCAAAGCCCCATTCTCGAAAGGAGTCACGACGTCGACGTCCTCATCCTCAGCATCCAGCCGTCGCTTCGTGAGCTCCTCCTGTCCGTATATGTCGAATTCGTCCTCTCGCTCGACGTATTCTTGGTTCTCCTCCACCTGCGCAAAGTCGGGTGCCAGTCGAGCCCACTTTTGCTCGGGTACGATGGACCAGACGTATATCCTGCCCGTCTCGAGGCCGCAGGTCGCCAGAAAGTGACGTTGCGGGTGCCATTCTATGACGCCCTGTTCCTCCTTTGGGCCATCCAATATTCTCGTCAGACTTCCTGTCCGACGCTCCCACACGTAGATTTCGTGATTGTTGTAGGTGGACGCCGCCACATATTCCCCTGTCGCCGTAAATGTGACGTGATTCCACGACAATCTGTTGACTTGATCCTCGAACTCGTGCTCCTTAATCAGGTAGAGGGTATCGACGTCGAGGTCTTTAGCGTTGAGGTCGGGTACATAGAACGTTCGGACTTTTCGATCTTGAGAGTTGACCAAAAGGTCTCGCCCCGATCTAGTCAAGCGTAACGTCGTGATGACGCCGTTGCACTGCTTTCCCGAGTGTATAACGGACCGACTCTTGACGTCGATAATGTTGATCCAGCCCTTGTTGGTGCCCGCGATGATGTGGTCACCCGATGCTGTGAAGATGGTCACGGTCGTCGTCTGCTTCGCGTCCTCCTTGGCATGCTTCTCTGCCAGCGCATCGTCTCCGTCTCCGCTCGATCGCTTCGGTATAGAGGTCAGGGCATGCTTGACTTCGACGGGCTCGGTAACGTCGACAAGCATGGGTTGGGCTTCGAAGAGGGACGCGACAAAAAGATTGCTATAGAAAAAAGTCAACGACCGCTTACAGAGACGGCAAGAACGCCAACGTCACTCACTGGTTGTGTGGGTGCAGCTCGGCAATGTACGCCGGCGCTCTGAAGCGCACCTCGCGATACTTTGTCCCATCTTGCAGGTCCCAAAGAATGACTTTCCAGCCCTGGCATGCAGACAGCAGGTAGCGTCCGCATCCCGACCAGCTCAACGACGTGATGCTCCTGTTGTGGCCGCGCATCTTCCTTGCAACGCCCATGGTCTCAATGTCCCAGACAACCAGAGTGCCGTCGACGCGCCCGGAGGCGAGAAAGTCGCCCGTCTTGTTGAAGCGCAAGCATGTCGCGTGGCCAGAGCGTATAGTGTTTGTGTTTGTGATTTGCTCAATGTACTCGACCGCCTCCTCGGGGTCGGCTAGAAGCAAGTTCATGGTGTCGAGGGGCGCATGTTTTGCCAGGGATTGAGACCCCAATACGACAGTCTTCTGGTCTGGTCGACGTCGATTCGGAATGGTTCGTCCTTGTCGAGCAGGGAGGGTTGCTGCCAGCCGATTCTCGGGTGGAAATGCCGGTTGGTAGAGTGTGTTCGATTGGAGATGGGTTACCTACCTCTACTAAGGTAGGTAGGGACGCGACCCTGCAAGGCGGATGCGCGACCTCAGGTGGTACAAGCTCGCAGCCCCGCTGCAGCGACCCCTCCCCCCACCATCACTCACTCACCTCCCCTTCGCGTTGTCCAGGGCCTATTCGGCACTGACTTACACAGTCACACTCTCAATTTGAGTCAGAGATCAGGCATAGCTCTGGTCGTCGGCAGCACCATGGCGAACTCCAAGTAAGACTCACTGTTGTTGCAGAAAGGATGTTGTCTAACTAATTTAGGTTCGAATATGTAAAGGCTTTTGAACAGCCAGACACCCTACTCCAAAACACATGGGTTGTTGTCAGGATAGATGGGAGAGGTTTTACAAAGTCAGACTCTCACCGTCCGATGCTTCCGGAACGCCGCACTCACACGTTTACAGGCTCTGCGCCAAGTATGCTTTCGAGAAGCCGAACGACAAGCGCGCCCTTGATCTTATGAACGCAGCCGCCAGGGCTGTCATGACCGATTTGCCAGACATCACCATCGCCTACGGCGTCAGTGACGAGTACAGCTTCGTGTTCCACAAGTCCTGTACGCTATTTGAAAGGCGTGCCAGCAAGCTCGTGACAACGATCGTCTCGACTTTCACAGCACACTATATACACTCTTGGTCCACGTATTTCCCAGATGCACCGTTAACCTTGCCTCTACCCAGCTTCGATGGACGGGCCGTCTGTTACCCTAGCGTACAGAATCTGAGGGACTACATGAGCTGGCGACAAGTCGACTGTGGGTAGAAATCTCTGGAGCCTCCCAGGCGAACACGCTGACAAGGAGCAGGTCATATCAACAACCTGTACAACACGACCTTCTGGGCCCTGATCCAGCTCGGAGGTATGGACAACCGCGCGGCAGAAGAGCTTCTAGCTGGCACAGTTTCGGGTGACAAGAACGAGATTCTCTTCTCCCGTTTCCATATCAACTACAATAATGAGCCTGAGATGTACAAGAAGGGCAGCGTCGTGTTCCGAGACGTCAGTTCCCTCTACCTCTCACAGAAATCTCGTCTTGCTAATTAGCATACTAGTATGAACTGGTCGAGCCGGGAACGCACAATGTCCAGGCAGATGCAGACGCCATTGCGGAGCCGGTATCCATGACCAAGTCCCAGACAGAGAAGGACAAGAAGCGGCGGAACAAAGCACGGATTGTGATTGAGCATCTAGATATCATTAAGGACGACTTTTGGGACCGGCGACCGTGGCTGCTATCGAACAAGCCGGGCAAGGCACCAAAGGAGACCTAGAAGATAGAAACAGTTCTGTCGTAGTTCCAATCTTGTCGATGGATGTTGGAGTACGGAGCCTAGTTGTTGCGGGCTCAACACGGAATTAAATATCTCTATCGGTTCACATTGTCTTCAGGACAGTCACTATTCCTCGGCCTGAGTTTTGCGTACGAGTCTTCTATTTTGGACAAAACGCTTGCAAACTACCACCACGATGTGCCCTAGTGCTTGCGAATCTGCGTAGCCAGGTCACACTCCAAGCCCGGGAAAAACAGTCGCTATGGGCCCCCTTCATTGGTAATCTTGCCCTGGCGCAGCGGTTCTGAATCCTAAACCTCCATTGGGTGCCCGAGCATTGGGCCCTTTCTAACGCCTGCAGTGCTTCAACAGCTTGGTCAAGTGTGCGACCAGCCTGGGTATCATGCACGCTCTATGAATCACAGCCTCTCCCTATATGCAGTTTTCTTTCAGCCCGTTTTGCGCGCCTCTCGCGCCGCCCGTCGTATCCTCTTCGCCTCTCTCCTCGCACGCCGCTCCTCTTTCGTCTCGTCCCGTTTCGACTTGTCCGAGTCCTCGTCAGAAGACGCCCTCTTCGACGAGCTCTTCGACGACGTCTGGGAAGCCTTCAGCACCCTCCTGGCCTCCTTCCTCTGCCTCTTCGCCTCCCTCTCCGCCCTCCTCGTCGCCCGCCTCGCCTTTCTCTGCGCCTTGCTCTCCTTGGCCCCGCCGCCTCCAACCGGCGTCAAAGTGCCCGTCGCGCTATCCTCACTCGTCGTCGTCGCCTCATCGTCATCGTCCAGCTTCTCCTCCCTCTCAACCTGCGCAATCGTCCCCTCAAGGAACCCACCCTTGACGAAACAGCCCCCGAGCTTCCACCGCCCGCCAGCCCCTTTCTCGACGCCGCCGATGCGCCCGCCGTTCTGCACAGCCTGCACGACGCCCAGCTTGCCGTCCGTGCCCGTCGTCGTGCTGAGCCCCTGCAGCTGCTCGTCAAAGGCGTTCATCCACCACTGGTCGCTCGTGTAGTGGGCCTTTTGCCCGATGCCCTTGTTGCCGTCGCGGCGGTTGAGGAGGAGGGGCTTCGAGAGGCCGATCGCGTCCGAGGTCGCGTGGAGGGAGTGGCCTGCGCCGCGCCAGCCCTGGGACGTGAGGAGGGCGTGGGCGTCCATCTTTTCTTTTGCGCTTCTGCTTTTGGTTTTGGTTCTGCCTTGTCGGGGGCGGGGGTGAGTTTCGTGGAGATTTGGCGCCGGTGGTTACGATCCGGCGGGTGATGGGTTGAGGGTGTCGTTCTTTGGAGGGTTATTGGGAGAATATAGGCTGTCTAGGATCTTATCATGACGAGGAATTCGCAAGTCGGGCGTCTGGAGGTTTGCGCTGGGATGCTGTCGCTGGTTTGAGGATGGTCAGCCAGCGAGCGGCGGAAAATGCATGTTGGGACTTTTTTTCCATGGCCAGGCTTATCTTATCACACCTGGCTGGCCCGCCAAACCCCTCCAACTCCGTCGCTCACCCAGTCTCTCAAATTTGCTCTCTGAAAGTCAGCGTGCAATGATAAAAGACATTTATCAGCAGTTGTTCAGATTCGCACCGGTTTTCACATTTACAGTCGTCGTGAGAAATCCATGATCAATTTCAAGTCATGATACTAAATTGAATGCTCCCAGTCCTCAGGAAGCCAAATCGCAATTTTGTTGTCCAAAACGCCCCACATATGGTATAATCAAAGCTGAAAAGAAATGCCATGCTCTCGGCCTCATGCTACATCCATGTAGTTAGACACAGGCCACTGCTTACACCTTGACCTTCTTGGCGGCCACGTCGGCCTCGGCAGCAGCCGACTCGTCGAGCGCCCTCTTCTCGGGCACAGCAGCGAGCTCCTTCTCCGCCTGCTCAAACTTGATGCGCTCCTCCTCGGTCATGTTGGGAAGCAGGGGCTTCTCGGCGTCCGTTGTCAGGTTAAGGTGGAAGGTTCGGATGATCGAGTCGGCGTCGTCGACAGCAATGGGACGCACATCAGCCAGCGCCTTGATCTTCTGCGTGACAACCTTGACCTGAGCGTCGGTCATGGTGAGGCCGAGCTGCTCGACACGGCTCTTGATGGCATTCCAGCCGGTGAGCCTAGAGGCGAAGTGGACGTAGCGGCTCATGCCAAAATCGGCGGGGTTGATGATTTCTGGGAAAAGGTCAGACAAGATCGCACCGTAAATTTGGGTTTTCTGGGAGCTTACCGTAGGTGGAGGGGTTGTTGAGAATAGCCTTGGCGTGGATGCCAGCCTTGTGGGTGAAGGCGCAAAAGCCGGTGATGTAGTTGTTGAAGGGGATGTTGATTTCGACGCTCTCGGCAACGAGGTCCTCCAGGGCCTTGAGCTTGTGCAGCTTGTACTTGCTGGTGACGTACTCGTGGTCGGCGACGATCATCCTTGCCATGAGGCCACCCAGAGGGGTGATGCCGTTGCGTTCACCGATACCGATGACGGAGGTATCGACTAAGTAGGAGTCAGAGATCAGGTTCGGCTAGTACAGAAGACTGAAGGACTCACTGTGCGTCGCGCCGGCCTCTAGGGCGCAGTAGGCGTTCGCAATGGCGCAACCGGTGTCGTTGTGGCTATCGTATGTTAGCTTCGTGCGCCCAGGTGCCTCTTTGGACGGGTTATGGAACAAATACGTACAAATGCGTCTCAATGTCACAGCTGACGACACCTCTGTAAAATGATTGTCAGCAAACAAGCCGCGCATCAGGGCAACCGGGTGGCGTGACTCACCTCAGGGTCCTGACGAGATCGTAGACCTGGCGCGGGCTGGCGCATCCAACGGTGTCGGCGATACCAACACGGTGCACACCGACCTTGTCTACGGCGCTGTAGACAGAGAGGAGGTCGACAAGGTCACTGCGAAACGAATCCTCACTAGAGAAACGAATCTCGAGACCCTTCGACTTGACGAACTGAATAACCTCGACGGCAGTCTGCAGCTGGTTAGCTTGAGTCATGGACACAGGGCAACAGGACGACGCACGTTGATGATGTAGGTCATGTCCTTGCCGTGGGAGTGCTCGCGCAGGTAGGAGGAAGTGCCGATGACAACGTCGACACCATCGACACCAGTCTCGACGGCCAGGCGGGCATCGTCCATGTGGCAGCGCACGTGAGTCAGGATCTTGGCCTTGAGGCCGAGCTTGCAGATAGCCTCGCAGTCCCTACGGGATTGTTCGCTGTTTTCCAGTATGTTAGCCAGCCGGCCTCCGCTGGTTTCGTGTCTTTAAGAGGAAGAACTTACGAAGCGGCAGGGCTCGTCAGCTCGATGTAGTCGACGCCGAAGTCATCGAGAGCCTTGGCAATCTTGATCTTAGTCTCGGTGTCGAAGAAGGCGTTGGCAAACTGTTCGCCCTCACGGAGAGTGGACTCGACTGTGGGACGAAGGTCAGACATGGGCGCCACCAGGGTAGAGGCCGGGGTTGGCCTTGAGACAACATACTGATCTTGAATCTTGAGACATTGCTCAGGAAGTCACCGACTGGCTTGTAAGGGCTGTCCTTCTGGGTACGGGTCTTGTGCGGGTTAGCAGCTGTTGCGAGCGTCGCGGGGCGTCACGAGGGCATTGAAGAGAGCCACGAGCGCAGGTCGGAGGGTTGCGCCTACCTGGACACCGGTGTAACCGGGATGGTCTGGCAATGGAGGTCAGCAAGACAAGTACGTGGTGCGAGAGAGCTCGCAAAATAACGAACCTCCAGTCTTGCCATTGGCACCGTTGGAGGTGCCGTTGGTCCCGTTGGTGTGGCCATTGACGGCTGGCGTGTCGGGTGTAGGGCACATGGCTGCGGTTTGTGTTGGGTAGGAGGGGGCGTGACTGTGGCTGGTAGGTGGTGTCGAGTCTCGATAGGTGGCGGCGATGGGTAGAATTGAGGTCAGGAATGGTGGAGAGGGAGGGGGGCTTTGGCCGTCGGCTTGTGCTTTTATGGTCGAGGGGATTTCCAAAGTTGAGTCACAACAGGGAAAGGGAAAATCTGGGGATCGGTGATTGAACAGAGGCGCAGGTAGGTACGACTATGAGGAAGGATACCTACATGGAGGTAGGTCCAGTAGGTACATGTACTACGAGGGTAGGTGGAGGCCAGCAGTCTTTCTCCATGTACCTCAGCTCAGCTACTGTGGTTTTTTTTTCCCGCCCTCTTGCCTCTTTGCCTCAATTCTGCTTCCTCTTGCCCCTCCGTGTCTCTGCACTCTGCATTTTCCTGGGCTTGCCGGCTGCGCTTGCTCGTGCTCTGCGTGCTTCGCTCTGCTCCGACGGCCAGCCGGGGCCATTGCCATTGGCATTTGCCATTTGCAGGCGCTAGGACTGGATGACAAGGGTCTGTATGCCCCCCTCCAGGGCCCCGCCAAACCCCACGCGTCGCCTTGCTTGACGCCATTCTGCGAGGAGGAGCCAATCGTCTTGCACCAGTGTCCTGATTCCCGGCGAGCCACAGGCACAGGGCCCTTGGACTTTTTTTCTGTGTGGTGGACCGTGCTTCCTGGAGTCACCGCCATTTTTATTTTTTTTCCTCTTTTCTACTCTGTTCTGCCTAGTGACGCATGCAGTCCATCCGAGGCGAAGTTTTAGTTGGAGGAACGGCGGTACGTACTTTGGGGTTTCACCCCGACCATCGGACCGCCCGCCTGTCGATGACTAACGAACGTTGTCAGTGCTTGCGGCTGGTTGGACAGGCTTGTGGCGGGGGATGGCTGGTGGTTAACTTTGTCGTGGACTGACGGATGTCATTGTAGGTACCTAGGTAGGTACTGGGAGGAGCATCAATATGCTTCATGCAGTTGTCAACAGCTTCTGCTTCTTGCATGAGGGGCCATAAGTTTTTTTCAATCCCGATAAGACCTGATGACTGCAGGATAAATCTCATAAACTACCTTTCCTATCATCAATGAATATTCATTAACAAATCTTCCAAAGAGCACACTCGCAATCCCTCGAGAATATTAGCATTCAATCCAACATAAACACATCCTGCCGAGACGCAGACAGTCAAGGAAGCTCACCATCTCATCACAAGCGGCCGTGCCAAACTGTCCAAGGCCGGTGCTTTTGCGGCCTCGCCATACCTTAAGCTTCGCCAACAAGGCATAAAACAATGGTGGAAGCATCCAGGAGGACACTTTGACGATGTAAGACCGGTAGCCGTTAACAACATCCTTTACCCGACAAGCCCCCTTAAGCCTGCCACCCTCAACATTTGTCGACCTGCCATGTCTTCTGCAATCCTCTCCGATTTTTGATGACTCTCCCAGACGGTTTAGGCCTACTGTACGAGGACAATAACCTTGCCGAGGCGCAATTGGACGTCTGACTTGATGGTAATAGACCTTGGGCTCATCCCGACTTTACACAACGGCATCCGTCCACTTGCTACGCCAACAGCACAATTCAAGTATAAAACAGACAGTCCAACGCATGCTCTCTGTCCGTTTTCTGTCTTGTCCCGGTAGTTCTTTCTTGCCCCTCAGCTCCCAACCTCTCCGCACCATCAGCATCATGGTCGTCCTCCGCCAGTTCCTCCTCCTTGTCGCCCTCGGCACCCTTTCCGAGGCGTCCAGGAAGTCCAGTGGTCCCCCCCTGGGCTCTACCGTTCCCAAGAAGGAAGCGGCTGCCCAAAAGAATGCCGTTCACGGAGGGACCCACCCCGGTTTCTCCCCGGGGGCACCACCCGCCCAGGTACATGGCGCCAGCCCGGCCATCAACATTGCGAACCCCATCAGCATCCCCCTGGTGACCAGCCCGGGCGGCGGCGGCGGCGGCGGCTCGCCACCCCTCCACCTGGCCCCCGTCTACCACGCGCCCGTCTACCATGCGCCGGCGGCGGGGCCCGCCTCGCCCGCGCCCGCGCCGATTAACATCCAAACCCAGCCTGCTCCTCAGCCGGCCGCCGCCGGCGCGCGGTCGCAACCTGCGACACTGCATGTTGCGCTCACGCAGCCGGCCACGACGGATGTAGACGGCCTCATCGTCTCGGATGCCGAGGAGCCCGTCGCGTCCAGCCCCCCAGGTCGACACCGCCGCAGCCAAATCATTGAAGCCGAACGTCTCGCTTCGGAAGCATGATGGATGGATAGCGATGGACGTCGTGAAGGCTATTGCGAGCTTGAGCCTGCTTGCTCGAGAGGTTCAAATAGTTGAGGAACTTGATGTGAGACAGAATCACATACGTTTTGGCATGGTACTATTGGACACGAAACTAGAAAAATAATAACACATGCCCTCGAAGAGCACATCCTTGCCAATTCTGGATTTCGATGCGATGAATACTCTGTACAATTCAGAATGTTGCCCCCTTAACGCCGATGGCTCGCCACACGGGTCATTCACATATCTGGTCCCGATGGCCATTTTTCTCGTCACCAAACTCCAAATACTCTAACAAAATCGAATCAAAACCATCTGCAAATCATTTCTCAGTCCAAACAGTTCCCAGCCAGATCCCTCAGTGCATCACATCATTTGTAATGCCCCTGAGCCGTTGACTCATTTCGGTTCTCGATCATCCCGCTGCTCTTGATCATTGTGTTGGAACGGCTGATCACCTGGGCAGGCGTGTCAAAGAATTCTTCCGAGTGATAGCTTGAGGATGCTTGAAAACTCCGGGGAGCGCGTACCGGGACAGTTCGCTGACCTTGCCGCGTTCTCACAGTATTTTGCGTTTGTTGATTAAAGGCGTCCCGCTGTTCGCTAGGCTCGACTTGTTGGGAGGGCTGCAGTCGCGGAGAGTGGGCACCGGATGCAGCCCTACTACGCAGAGAATACCGAGATTGCGAAGTGTATTGCTGAGAAACCACAGGTCGAGGGCGTAGCCGAGGCAATTCAGCACTGTCTTGGCTGGTATTAGGGGCAGAATCTTGGGAACGGCGGGCGTCGCGGATACTTTGATGGATGTCGGCCGTGGCACGTTGAATAAATGCAGTCGACTCAATAGGCCGAAAAGGCGGTGGCAGTTGGTAGGAAACTTTACCAGGATGCTTTCTCTTGAATTCATCCAGTGCCGTTGCCCCGGTGGTCTTGTACGATGGCGACGTGGCTGGATCAAGGGGATTGCAGCCGAGTGTGTTTTCGGCCGCAACACGTTCCCGACTCGGAGTCTTCACAGCTTCTCTGCTCATGGTGGTGGAAGCAGGGGTTCTGGTCCGAGCCGGCTTCTCGTCGCGGGTAGTTGTGTCGTCTTTGTGGTCAATGTCAGACAAAACCCTGGCGATATGAGCAGTTCCGTTATATGTGTCCAGCGACTCGGCTTTGCAGCTGACGACTTCGTCATCACGGCGACGGTTGAGATGACGCCTGTGGCTGTCCGCAAGAGCGTGATTTTCGGATATATGCGGAGTGTGTCTCTTCTGCCATAGAGGAATCTCATACTCGCTCTTAATACCCTCCCGGTGATGTTTAGTGTGACGGTCCAAGAAAGGTTGTGCAATTAGCGATTGCTCAGCGTTATGTGTAGGAATGTAAGGGTGGATCTAGTTCCGCATGACATTGGCAAGCACGGTAAACTGCTCGAGTTCCGCTTCTGGACCGTCAGGTGTGCGCTCGGCCTTGAGAAGTGCAGCGATGACATGGACCTCAATGACGTTGACCGATCCGGCATTCAGCTGCGCCTCAAATACACTCGAGAAGGGTGGGAGGACCTGGCCGGCTACAGGCGCCTGCTGGCTGAGAACGTGCCGGTTGGCAATAGCCCAAATCTTGTACTGTCGCTGTTGAGCTTGCAGGAAGGGAGGCAGCGTTAAGATAATCTGCACGCGAAGGTGATTTGCCGGCAGGTGCATCGTAACGGACTGCTGACTCTCGCTTTCAAGAGGCATAATGTCGTACACCACCTGATGCTGATGCATGTTCAGCACAGGGTGTGTCTGAATTCTCAGGTTCTGGATGAGAGCATCAGACGCGCCCTTACCAGCGCGGCGCGCGGTCTCCTCAAATGGTGACTTAGGTTTGGGCACGTGGAGACCGTTGGGCTGTTGCGAGGCCGGGATGGGTTGGAACTGGGCGTTGCTGAGGGCAGGCGCAGCGTTCGAAGGTGGCGCTGTGCCATTGAGCTGAGCGGGAGCCATGACAGGAGATGGACGGAATGTGCTCTCCCTCTTGATACCGTTGAGGGCAGGACCAGGGGATGCTACCGACGCACTACGAGCTTTGTCGATAGAGCTTGTGCCACTAACCGCAGTGGCCTGGGCAGACTGGGAAGTGGCCCCGTTGGATGCCGCCGGCTTCTGTACAGCGTGCGTCGTAGTGCCCCGAGCCGGCGTGGGAGGTGCAGGAGAGGACGTGGAACCGCCTCGAGGTGGGAGCTGAATTGTGATCTTCTTAGATGTAGAAATAGGCTGGTCGTTGGTGACCTTGAGTTTGATCTTTGGCTGAGGTGGCTCCTCAACGACCTTCTTGGCCTGCTTGAGTTGGTCGAGGAAGAAATTCTAAGCGAGTTTTAGCCTCAGACGCGAAACCCATTCACGGGCTATGAACGTACCTTGAACTCGCCGGCAACGGCATAGTATTCACTGTCCTCTTCGTTGTAGAACTGGGCGTTTGTCCAGATCAAGCTCGCGGTTTCCTCAAAAGCGGCCCAGCTCTTGAACTCGCTGACATGGGTACAATTGCCGCGACCTTGAACGCCCTTGACGCGTTTCTGGAGCTTCTTGATGGAGAGCGGGTTAGAAACATGTGCATAATAGTCCTTGAGCGAACGCGAGGGCAAGTTGAGAAATATTTCGAACTGGGGTTCGTCGGAGCTGCCGTATCATGATCAGTAGTGCGAAAATAAAATCATCGATGGGTGGACATTCGGGACTTACTCGTCTTCTGTCTTGCGAATCAACTCTTCAACAATCTTCTCCTGTGCTTCCTGGAAGGAGCACTCTTTGTAAGGAATATCAGCGTAAACGTCGTCGCCTTTGCGATTGGCAGATCGAGGCGTAGCAGTAGCGTTGGGGGTGCTGCTAGCAGCTGACTTGCGAGCTGAACCACGACGCAAGATGATCGAAGGTCGACCCGACCGCTGAGGTTTTCCGTCGTCTTCGACGTCGGCATCTCTGTCATCGTCTTCCTCGTCATCGTCTGCGGCGGCATCGTCCTCTTCCTCCTCTTCCTCCTCGTCGTCAGCAGCCTCCTCAGGGGTTTCGGGAGCCTCCTCCTCGGCGTTCTCGAGCTCCGAGGGAATAGGCGTGGGAAATGCTGTGTACCCGTCGCCGCGGTGATAGGCAGGGTTGACCTTCGTCATGTGGTTGCTAAGAGCCTTTCGCACACGTTCGGCATCCTCGAAAGTGCTTGAGTTGCGGGAATAGTACTCCTTGGCGTTGCTGACCATGCGCTTGAAGTAGCTCTCCACCTCCGTAAGGGTCGCAAACTCATGGTTGTTCAACTTTTGCTCAATCATCTCGAGCGAGATGGGCATCTTTGTCTTCTTGTAGTAATCGCGGTTCTCGGCACGAGGCGGAAGTGTTTCGAAGTATCCTGCGACACGACGCCCACTACGAAGGGGTCAGTTCATCTCCATTCTCGGCATCATCATATGAATGATGTACATACTTCTTGTCAGAGGTTCGACGGACCAACTCCAGAAAGAAGAGACCATGTTCAGAAGTTGACTCGCGCGTTTCTGGCTGCTCCTTAAAGTTGTATTTCTGTAACACATGATCAGCAAATGAAGGTGCATTTCCCGCTATCATCATCAACAAGGTTGCAGTAGCTCTCGTCGTCAATGGATGCATGGGGAAAATGGAAAGACACAATGGCGAGAGGAGATGATAGGTGATGCACGCTTGGAAGCCCAAGCGCGTCATTATGCAAAGGCTGCGCATTGTGTCCATCAAAGATATGGCGGCACTCACCTCTGCAAGCCGTTGTTTCTTCCTGTTGCGCTCGTCCTGCTCAGCTGCAGCGGAGACCGCATTCGCAGAACCGGCCTTGCGCTTGTTGTCCATGGCGATTCTGTGCGCAGTGTTGGCGAAAGTCGGCGCAGACTATCGGCGAATTCACGCGCATGCAGCAGGCTTAGTCCCCTGCGTGGTGCTTTGCGGCTGTAGTGGGCTTCGTGGGAGTTGAGGTGCTTTGAGGTAGCTGTCGCCGACGCGTTTGGCTGGAGATGCGTGCGCTGGAAGTGACGGGGCAGGAGCTGCTGGCACTTGGGGCAGGAAAGACAGAGGTCAAAGGTAGTAGCGCGACTGCCAGTCGAGCTCGGAGCGCTAGCGCATTGGATCGATCTGGTAGGTGGGTGGGTGCAGGCAGGGACAGGATGAGAGTAGGAGCAGGTGGGTCTCCCTGCTGCCGCTTCTTGGAGGCTGGAGGCTCGTCTCTGGTCTCCGTGTGAGAAGGCATGCATGCGTACACGTGACTGTAAAAGGCCAGTCTCACCGCCCGGCATAATCGAGGGGAGCTGGCCACCGGCGTCGGCCTGGCCTTCGTTCGGAAGATGCCGCCAGAATGCATCCCTCCAGCTCTGCCTATCCATTGGTACAAGCCATGTGTTCTCCCCTCCACACCAGGCCCCCAGACCCCTGTACGTTGCTCACTGGGCCGAGCACAGCAGTGGAGGGCGAAACACGGCGACGATCTTTTTGGCTCTGGCTCCCCATTGGAGTTTTGTTTACACTTTCTCTGAAGACCTGGGCGCTCTGAACTGGAAACACCACAACACCTGTTTGCACATTCGCATTCCTCTCGCGACCCCTCCGCCCTGCTTTGGCTTAGCTCTGCATCGTTTTGCTGCTTCCTCACGCCCTCTGCCGCCCAGCGTCGCCTTAGTTTCGGCGCTGCTCACGCGTTTCAACCGACATTTGCACCTGCCCACCCTACCCCGCCCGCAGAAGCAGTCTGTTTACCAACTCCGTCGCCTGACCTCGCGACTTGCGACTCGACTGCCATCCGATTCTGCCCAAAACAACCCCAGATACACACCTCAACGCTGGGAGACCATCTGTTGATACCGCACGCCTGTGCTGCCATCATATTACGCTGCGCCTGAGTTGCCCCGCCTCCGCCGTTTCGCAAACACTCATACCAACCTGCCACACCCCGCATCCCGTCGTCATGGATATCGACATGAGCCGCCGCAACACCCACCCGAGGACCCTCTCGGACGACGAGCGGGCCGTCTTGGAAGAATACATTGATTCCATCCACTACTCGGCACGGTACGTTGGTTCCTCTGTGGCTGCCGCCGTCGCCGCCGCTCACTACTGACACGACATCTTCGAAGATACTCTGACAGCGAGTATGAGTACCGCCACGTCCAGCTGCCCAAAGCCATGCTCAAGGCCATTCCCAAGGCATACCACGACTCTCAAAATGGCACGCTGAAGCTTCTTTGGGAGGAGGAGTGGCGCGCGCTTGGCATCACGCAGGTTCGTACACTGGTGGTCCCCTTTCCGGGATGGGGCCGAGGCTTTTCCACTCTTCCCGGGCCGCAACGGGAGGACGCATCGCTGACGGACGCTTTAGAGTCTGGGCTGGGAGCATTACGAGGTCCATGAGCCGGAGCCGCATATTCTGCTGTTCAAGCGCCCTCTCAACTACCAACCCCCGCAGTGATTCGAGCCTGTCTAGGTCCCTGCTCATCCCCGACCCAAACCCTTCACCGACAGAATGATTTTTTTTTTTAAAAAAAAAAAAAATCCCAAGAGAAAACCCACGCCAACCAAACCCTAACTACTCGAACCTTATGGGCCACGCTGTGATGATTATACATGGGACCGGAGCGGAACGGAACGGAATGAGACGAACCCCCCTCCTTGACGAAATGCGACCCCAACGATTGCTTGTTTGCTCGCCACGGCGTGCTTTTTAGAATCGGCGAGAAAAAGGCGTGGGGGATGGACAATGCCCACCCACCGTCCGTTTGACTGACTCACTCGGCTTCGAAGCACAGGAGGCGGCGGCGGTGGCAAATTCGCTCTGACGAGAGAAGAACTGCATTGCATCTTTTTTTGTTTTGTTTTCTGCGGAGTCGTACGAATTTCTGAGATTGCGGTCTGGTATGCATTGCTTGACCCGGGCAGAAGTACTCTGAAGCGGCTATGCTGTAGGAGAAGGCTCTGCTCGAGGCGACGCCAGGATCCTGTCTCACCTGAATGACTGACGCATACATGGCAGGCAAAGGGTTTGTAGATATGAAGGCGTTCGGGTAGTCTATATACCGCCATGATAGTTACGTGTGGCACAAGTGAATTGACGGTGAGGCGTAAGATTTTTGACACGTGCCCTCCGCAATGGAGCCGACAGGCCCATGGCCGATTCTGAGATGGGTAGATGTTGTAATCGCGCGTATGACAGATGCAGCTCCTGGGAACTGGATTACTGAACAGCGCTACCAAGACATTCAAAGTCCCAGGAGACGGGCTTCCGACCTGTGCGATGTACCGACATAATTATGGTCCAGCAAAAACAAAGGACAAGCTGCAGCACTTAACTGGAGTGTTCGGTGCAAAGTGTCCTGTTTTAACCGATGCAGGGACAGCCGAATCTGGGAACCCTCCGAGCCAAGCCAGGGCTTGTCTGGTTGGGCTGCACGCTTTGTTAGACCACGTCAAGAAGCCAGACGAGATACCTACCTGATGGAAGATGCGTCCCGCGCCCTCAAAACGGATACGGGCCAGTCAGCGCGAGTGGCTCGACTGACAAGCACGCGATGGGACGATGGCGGCGCCGACCGCCAGGTTTTAGCGGCCGATGGGCCCTGTATCTCCTGATGTTCTATTGCTGACTGTGGCTCCCTATTTCGGTGGCACTTGCCTCAAACTGCCGCCGGCGCCCCGTCGCCGTGGAGGATTTCGGACCTTCCACTCTGTTGGAGGACACATTGCACTTGCCCAAATCGCCGCCCATCCCGCTCCTAAAGTGTCTAGGCAGGGGCGACCAGCGTCATGCCCATTTGGATGATGATGATCAATCCTTCCGCCCAATCTGATCCCCCTCTGTTAGAGTTCCTGCGAGGCACAAACAAAAAGGAAAAAGGAAAAAAAGGACTTTGATGGTGCATTGGCTTCCTATTCATAGCGACGCATCGAACCACTGAACCGTGGTTTGAGGCCACATCGCATACCACACGCATTCCAACTCGTTCGGATTCCAGACCCCTCCCTCCACTTATTCCATCGACATCCACAAGCGATTCGCGGTCTCGGGCCACCTGCACATACTCTGCTGTCCTCTTCTTCTATTGACAGCTTCTTGCGCTGTACATAATTTATCCCTTGCGGCCCTTCTTTGTCCTTCGTCCTCGACCTCCTGCTCAATTCCCAACTGTTCTGCTCAAACGAACCTTAACCTTTATAGCCTTTCCACCAACCCCAGATCCGCCTCGCCGTCATTACCCTTTGACGTAACAGCCACGATCCGACACAACCCACTGATAGCCTCTGCCGCTGCACCCCTCCACCGTGACAGGCTTTCTGTCATTGAGACCCCAAACGAGCAGTCTGTTGATTGCATCCTCTTGGCCGGCCGACTGCTCCCTCAAAGAATATCAATCAACCCAGCATGAAAACCGCCAGCAGGCTCTTCTATCTCTCCGTCTTCTCCCTTCTGGCAGCGCCTGCACAATGCGACGTTTCGAAGGATGATTGCGCGGTACGCAACGCTGCTCTTTGCCACCCCCATGGCTGCTCCCGCCGTATTGCCACTGCGCGTGCTAGATCTTGTCTTCGTTTCTAATATCGCCTGCTACCAGATAACTCCCAAAGCCATCGTTTCGGACGCCTGTGCCTCCTACTCTACCCTCGACAAGCTGAACTTTGCTGTCAAACCTCTACTCGACGACCTTACCACCACGACCGACTTCTTCTCACACTACCGTCTCAACCTCTTCAACAAAAGGTGCCCCTTCTGGAACGACGAAAATGGTATGTGCGGCAACATTGCCTGCGCCGTAGAGACGCTGGACGACGAGGCGGACATACCAGAGGTCTGGCGCTCAGCAGAACTTGGCAAACTGGAGGGACCGGTGGCGAAACATCCCGGCCCCAGGGCGAAGAAGAATACGGACCGTCCCCTCCAACACGGCCTCGGCACCAATGTGGGAGAGAGCTGCGTGTTCGAGTACGACGACGAATGCGATGAGCGTGACTACTGCGTTCCCGAAGACGAAAGCGCTTCTTCAAAGGGCGACTACGTCAGCCTCCTTCGAAACCCTGAACGCTTCACTGGTTACGCAGGCGTCGGTGCTGCCCAGGTCTGGGATGCCATATATCGGGAGAACTGTTTTTCGAGATCCTCGTTCCCCAACTCTGCCGCCCTTGGCGTATCGCAACAGAGCTCTGTGCTTAACAAGGTTGGGCCCGCGGCCGAGGACCTAAAACAGATCCTGGAGGCCGCTGGACGCCAGCAAGCGTTGGAGCAGATCCGCGAGACGCATCCAAACACCCCGTTTGTGGCTCAGACGGGCTTCGAAGCCCAAGATGAGTGCCTCGAGAAGCGTGTCTTCTACCGCGTCATCTCGGGTATGCACGCAAGCATTAGCACTCACCTTTGCTGGGACTTCCTCAATCAGACCACCGGCCAGTGGCAGCCCAATCTCGCCTGCTACAAGACACGACTTCACGAGCACCCCGACCGCATTAGCAACCTGTACTTCAATTACGCGCTGGTGACTCGCGCTGTTGCCAAGCTGGGACCTTTCATCCAGGGCGAAGCCGGTCAAGAGCGATATACTTTTTGTACCGGCGACCCTTACGAAGATGATGCGACGAGGGCCAAGGTGCTGGCCGTGACGCAGGGTGCCGCATCAGTTCCCCAGATTTTCGATGAGAGCCTCATGTTTAAGAACGGCGAGGGTCCATCACTCAAGGAGGACTTCAGGAACCGCTTCCGCAACGTCAGCCGCGTCATGGACTGCGTCGGCTGTGACAAGTGTCGCCTGTGGGGCAAGCTGCAGACAGCGGGCTATGGCACGGCGCTCAAAGTCCTCTTTGAGTTCGACAATGCCAGCGAAGATCTCCCCCAGCTGAAGCGGACCGAGATTGTGGCGCTGTTCAACACGTACGCGCGGATCAGCAGCTCTTTGCGCGCCATTGGCAAGTTCAGGGGCATGGTAGAGGAACAGCAAGCGCTGGAGGGCGTCTCGTCTCTTGCCCAGGAGGCCGTTGAGCCTCCAGTGGGAGCTGGAGCACAAGCTCAAGCATCTGATGCAGATGAGGACGGCCTGGACGACGACGATTACGAGGAGGAGGAGGACGAGGAAGAGGGGGACGACGAGGACGACGAGGATGAAGCATCCGCCAAGAAAAAAGGCAGCCAGTGCGGTATGAAGTCGGATAAGAATGCCACCGTGAGCCAGAGCTTGGACGACGAGCTCAGGCTCGTCATGCGCGTGACCAAGCTGGTCCTGGTGCAGTGGGCTTCTTTCCCCGGAACACTGTAAGTGATGGTCTCCAGCCTGTTTGAGGTGACGAAATTAACTAACACCAAACCAGTTGGCACATAGTCAGCAACGAGACGAAGCGTTTCGGTCAGTTCTTCCTCGGCCTGCCCGTCTCGCCGCGGACATGGAAGTTTGAGCGGCCAAACTTGGATGAGCTGTAGCAGTGGAGCGGCATGGAAGCATTTGAGTCTGAAAAGGACGCTGGCGTTTTGGAACTTGTAGCATTTTATTCAGGGCTGGGTAGATCGGCGAGTTGCGTGTTCAAAAGTGGCGTATATATCATGAATCAACCACTGGACACCTTAGTATGTTTTTCACATCACTCCACCATGCCATGGGCCCGACGGGATTGTGTATAAATTTCTCGTTCTCGCTACCGCTACGTGCATGTCCTCTGTACGCCCCCGCTTGATTGTCGCCTCGGACTTTTAATATGGAGAATCGTCTCCCGTCGGACTCCTCGCGCTGCGACTGCTCTCCCTGCTGCTACGACCACCTCCCGCTACCTTGCCATTGCCAAGAAGAACATGCGTCACGACGTTGCCAATCTTCACCTTGACACCCGACACGCGCACCTCCCAGTTCCGAAGCTTCTTGAACGAGGGCGCGCGGAAGATGCGATACGTCCGTATGCACATCTCCTCGTCGGGCAGGGCGAACGTCCAGGCGATGCTGACGTGGAAGGCATTGTCAACAAGGGCGTCCGCCTCAGCGTCAGCTTCGCCCTTGTTGGCGGCTTCGACTTGGTCTCTGGACGCGTACAGCGTGGGCAGCCCGCGGGAAGAGGCTACGGTGTTGCATCGGCGGAGGAGCTCGCGCAGCTGGGGGTTGGCGCTCGTACCGGGAATGGGAGGTTTGGCCTTGGGGTCGGCCACACGGAGGACAAGGAAGGCGCGGTCCGAGTCAGGAGACTTGTAGAAGGCGAGACCGCTGGGAGAGACCGTAAAGGGTCCTTTGACAGCGGCCGAGGTGGGACGCAAGGACGAAGTGAGCGCGTCTAGGAAGGCGTCCTTGTTGGCGGTGGTCAGTGACAGGGATTTCGAGAGCGAGATATGAAGTGGCAAGGGGGCGTTAAGATCCGAGGTCAGGAAAGAATGCAGCCTGTGGGTGGTGCCGAGCTGCTTCTGGGCAGCGTCGAGAAACTCGACCAAGAGTGCATGTTGCTCTGTAGTAGGATGCCCTGCACGCGGTTAGGATTCAGGGTCTGATGTGGAAGAAAATGGAGGGCTTTACACTCAATATAAACGTGGGAGGGCCAGTTGCCCGCGACATGCGGTGTCAATCGCTTTCGGCCGTTGTGCAGGCTGGGGTCATCCGAGACACTCTGGCGCACACTGGAGGCATAGAGATCGTGAAACGATTCGGGAAGAGGTGGCAGATCTGAGGCAGTCGGATGGGATGCTTCGCCCCCTTTGCCATCGGGCCCGCCGCCGGATCGCTGTTTCTTGGCCGGGGGAGGGGCGATCTCAGAATCGGCTGTGACGACGCTCGAGTCGGAGGAGTAGTCAACGAGTGCCATCAGTTCGGGGTAGTCAGTTCGGACCTGCGCCGGGCCAACGAGGTCGACGAGACACGATGGAGCGAATACGACCGAGACGAAGTGAACTCCGGGGCGGAGAGGACGACTTGCCGGAAGGGTCAGCAACGGTTGGCTCGTGGGGAGAGACAGAGATTGCTCAGGCTCTCGACATAGGTTCGTTCCGTCTGACAGCCCTAGAAGGCGTTTGTCACGGACCGTTGATGTTGCTTCGGCTGAAGAGGAAACCCGGCCAGAAGAAATGATGGCAAGATCAACCAAATGGTTGATGTAGCTCAGAAAGCAGTGCGTGCGCGTGGTTGGCCATTGGTGACAGAATCACGATGAGTGTGCGATCGAGGGTGACCTAGGCCCGCAAGTTGGTGGAATCGAAAACGCGTTCATCGATCTCGATGGGGCGCACATGGAGGCGCCTACCATGCGCGGAGGCACCCAGCTGTTCGAGGTAACAGTGTAGAGATCAGTAATTACAGCGCACAATAGAAAATATAGCCTTCTTGACGATGGCCACTCAGTCTCGAGTGCGATTCTGTTTGTTGTCTATCTTGTTACAGAACTGCAATGCTTGGCGTTGGCCCGACCACGTTGATGTTGGACAAACTCGCTGATGAACATTCGCCATGGACGAGGTGTGGCGTGGTGGCCATAGCTTTGCGCAGAAAGAAGGCCGAGTGGCTGGGACGGTTCGAACGAGGTCAAGCGAGACACGCCGAGCGAGTTGGCCCGGATGGATCAGAGGCTGAAAGAACCAAATGCTTGAGTGAGACCGTGGGCTTGCGCTCATCAGAGTATCTCGCATGGATGCAACTGCATTGTGAAGCTTAAATCTTGGCACTGGAGCCTGGAGAGAAAGGCTGCTTGCTGGAAAATGCTGGCCACAGGTTTGTCAGTGGCCAGTGGCCTATGTTGGAGGGTCAGGGTGACGGGTGTGATGGAATGGTCCATTGAAGAACCAAAGCATCTCGGGGAAGAATTTAGTATAGTGGAGGTGCAGTCAGGCGCATGAGCATGAGCACGCTTGGGAAATGGAAAGGCTTCCAGGCCCGTGGAAGCCGGGGGGTTGCGGTGTGATGGACAATGTGGAGGGGACCATCAGAGGTGGAGGATGGCAGGAGGCGGAGTCCTTGTCGCCGATGTTCTGGGCATCTAAGTCGGTGATGCGAGTTCATGCTATGGTTTTGTTGTCCCTTTTTCCCCGGGGCGATGCACATGGTGTTCCCCTGTTGAAAGATGTGTCGTGGTCCAATTGGGGTTCTCCATGTTGCTTTTGTTTTCGTCCAAATGCCTACGACAAGACGGAAGGTTGAGGTCGAGCTTGATGCGGCAGATGGAAAGCAGGCCTCATAGGTTCCAAGCCTGATGTCTGGTGTCTAATGCCTTTCACTGGCAAGACCAAGACGGTCGACACCGCCCACCAGAGTCAAAGGAGTCAGACAGCGACTCGGTGGGGCGGCAGAAGAGGGGAAGGCACTCCCCGGAAGGGTCTCGGTGCTGGGTCTGTTGGCAGCCGCAGCCCACTACATGGTACGCCCATTGCACCTTCCCTCTGAAGTCCAAGACCACTACTCCCCCTGCTTTGCGCCCCTCGCTACTTGCTGCACGACCGAGACCACCCATCCCCAGAGGCAAGAACGCAAGTCCTCATCCGCTTGACCCGCCGCTGCCACACATGACATGCCCAAATGCAAGCCAATGGCAACAGGCCGAAGGGCGAGAACCGGGGGGGATGATCAGGTGCATTCGAAGCCCGTTAGCGGAGAGGGGTCTCTTCGAGCCGCGTACTAAGGTATGGCAGCTAGGTCGGTCGGCAGGGGGCCCCATGGGTCACGTTGGCCTCTGGGTCGATCGAAGGAAACAAAAAAAAAAAAAGCGTGACAGCCGAGAAGAGCAAGTGCCATGCCATGAGAAGTCATGCTTAAAGCTCCTGTGTCTGCCACATCCGCTTGATCAGGCCCTACTTTTCCACTTTCCACGTCCACCGTTGACCGTTCCTCGCAGCCGATCACTGTCCTGACGTCTTCATTGGAGCTGATACTGATGACCATTTACTCGCGTCTTACAACTTGAAGTAACCTGGATAGCGAGTGGCACGTCTTGCGACTGCCGATACCATCACTCGTGCCGTGGAAACGACCGACGACTTCTTCTTCTTCTGCACCATCGACTTGGATTTTGACGACACCTCGACAGTCACGATATACGCACGGTCGCCATGGCGAGGTCAAAGATGAGCAGCAAATCGTCGGAAAATGCTTGGGTGAGCTCCATGCCTTCCCCATTGTTACCCTCTTCTTCCCCGTCTCTCCCTCATCCGCGCACCCAGATCCTCGCACCTCAACGACACATGCACTATCCCCCTCACCTCTCTCTCTCTCTCTCTCTCTTTTTTGTGCGAAACATCTGCACGGCACGTCATTCTACTCGTTCCCAACGACCTGCCTTTGGGTGCTGGCATCCTGGCAAGCACACCCTCCCGCCTTTGGGTGCTGGCATCCTGGCAAGCACACCCTGCCGTCAGGCGTGGGTGGCATGGTTCCCCCAATTGCTCACCCTTCCCCCCTCACTCCGTGCGCGCACTCATGCGCCTTGGGACCCGCAGCCCGAGGTCCAGAACAGAACAAGCACCAGGGGTCAAGCTTTTGGGGGCCTGACCGCAGATGCTGGTCCCTGGCAGATTTTGTTTCCCTGGCTGCCTTGTGGAAGGGCCCGCGACCGCCCCGACTCCCCGATTCCCTGACTCCCGAGTGGGCTGCAGCGTCCCTCTACCAGCCCCGGCCCCACCAGCCCTGCGCCTCTCCGTCAGTGACGTTTGCAGCGGTTGCGTCACTGTTCACCCAGACCCTTACGTTAGCCCCAAGCTTTCGACCACTATCTCCAATGCCCCCAAGGGTTGGCCGACGTAAATACGGGCCTGGCCTGATCTTGTTGCGTGACGACGCGCAAGCCTCAAATACATTTTATCCGCCATTCCTCTTGCATCCGATCAATTCTGTCTCACACTTCACACACCCGCAGGCTTCCCGTCGTTAACCACATTATTTTCAGGCCAAACAGTATCTCCTCGATCCCCTGACAGCACCAGAACCCAGCCAAGAAGACGGTCCAGGCAGCACATTTGTGAATCCCGACCCCCTTCTGCGAACCTTTTCCAGGAGAAACAAGGATTCCACCGCCAACAAGAACGAGACCCCTCTCCCAACACCACCCACATCGGCAAGTCCTACACGCGCGAGCTTCCAGTCTCCCAGCAACAACAGCGTCTCTCGCAGCACCAGTACCCGCAACCACACTGGTCCGAGAAGTCACCCACCACGGCCCGAAAAGCACACGAGGAGCATCAGCACCCCAGTTGCAGGATTCCACCGCCCCCAATCCATATCGCAGAGATATCCCGGCGACATGTCTCACCGCCCGCTAGACGTTATCAAGCGCGAGCAGCGCGCTGCTGACCGTTCTCCGCACCTGCGCACCCGCCGCCATGGACCCAACACGGACATCATTGACGGTCTCGACACCATGGGCGGAATTTACCACCACGGGGGTCCCTATGACGCCACGCTCGCCTCGCGAAACCGCAATAAAATGTATTCGCCTCTCGACGCCGTCAAGGACTCCAACATGGAGGCGCTTAGGGCCACGCCTCGCGAGTATGTCATTGACTCTCTAGAGAGGCATGTTCCTCTCCAGGGTACTGCCACGATTCCCGCCGGTTACACCGATCTCTCCGGTAAAGTCATGAACTATGAGGAAGGCGCCGATCTGATGCGGGAGGCCGACGCTGCTGGCGGCGCGTACAAGAGGTGGGATGGCATTGTGAGTAACGTTCCACGCCCATCATCCTACCTTCGCTCATAATTTATAGAAATATCACCCCGACGACCTCAAGGGCAAGGGTGAGCCATCGTACACATATGAGAAGGATCTCAAAGAGAAGAAGCGTCTCCGCCATTCCATGAATGCCGGTCCCGCCGAGTACGAGATGCGATCGGGCATCAACCGGGAGCACCGTAAGAACGGTCCTGGTATGGTTCGCCAGCGCAGTGTCAGCAATGCCGCCGATGGGAGGCCCGGACCCCCCGGTACCCTCCGTCCTTCCAACTCACCCCCTGCCGTCGGCTTTTCCAAAAGCACAGATATTGGCCGCAGCAATTCGGCCGGCAAGCGCTTTAGTGAAGGCTTCAAGCGACGCTTTGGCAGTCTTCGCAAGAAAACCCAAACGGAGGCCTAACATGGCAGTGATGCGGCGTATGACGTATGATTTTTCATTGTAGCTATTTCCTTGTTTGCTGACCGGACTTACCGGAGAGGCGCGTGTTGTGTATTACTAGGGCAAAACTACTGGTATAGATGTCGGGACCCTTTTTTCTTTCTGTCGCGCGAGGTTTCCGACATGGGTTACGGAGTAAATATGAGATATCCACTTGGTTCGACTGCTCTCCTCGCTAGGGTGTAGGGCCGTGAGACGAGAAAGTGTGCCGATGATGTCATTGCGCTCCGAAGTCATCTTGAACGGGCGCCAGGGCCCAGTTGAACGGTGCTGAGCATCATAATCATGATTGTGACACGCCAACTCGCGGCTGAATCGTCCTAGCTTTAGACTTGTCGGTAGTGTGTTAGCCACGGATGAACCGCGTAGGCACGTTTTGGGAGCAGGTTGTAGCCGGTTCGGGGTTGTCACAAAGGCATATTCGTGACCACATTACTACACAAGAATAGCACCAGGCGAGTTCGGCCGGCGATATTGCGGCTCTACCATAGAGCAAGAGTACAGTAGATGATGATGAGCAAATGGGCAGGATCCCGAACAGCCCGGTGACGATGGCCCGGTGCTCCCGCGGTGCCGGACCTCCCGGGTAGACGACTCTCGTTGGGCTATCCACGTTATCAACGTTTCGACCAGTAATATCAACGTGAAGATTCGGTTTCACGTGTATGTTTGACTTGCAGGATCTGGTGGCATGATAGCGGGCTGGCGCGGCCAG